GATGAGCACAATATATCAATATATAAAAATGTTAGTCACTATTCACAATATTTTAAAATGTCAAGCACAATATTTAAAAAACAATCATTTATATTTACAAACTAAATTTAAATGGTATCGACCATTGGACGATTGTCCTGCTTTTCTACAGGCACATCTATTTGACTTACATCTGTTTTTACCACAACATCCACATTTTAAAAAACCTTGTCCTTCACATATCGAATCAGATTTTACGGCACGTCTTAGGGAAATAAAGTTTTCAGTACACACATATGAAGGTACCAAAAAAAGGGAATCAGCAACCTCGAACTGGTTTCTTGTATATGATCCGAGCAGGATACCATGTTTTGTGGCCAAGCGATATCCTTTTTCAGTCTTTCGGTGAACAATTGCCATTATTTTTTTTGGGTCACCCTTTCCTCTGTCAACATGTGGAATTGGTATCAGAACATTACTACCAATGTTGGCCTCCTCTAAAATTTTGTTCGATCTGTCGATCATTCGTTCTTCCTGTTTTTCTGTACAATTAGTTGCATTAGTTCTCTCAGTTTGAATTTCTTGTTCATTTGAACACAAAAAACACAAAACAGATGTCCCATAACCTTCTTCGCCATTTGTTTTACCACAAATAAAACGCACTGTTGATTTACAATTAGTGCATGCATGTGCATTTGACTCTGGTTTTTGACAAACAATACATGTAAAGTTGTCGCTATCAATGGGAATGTTTATATTATTAATTTCGTTTTCTACGTTATCTCGAAACCCTGTGTTGGTTATATCTTTAAGATCATCCTCTGTATTTAAAAGCGAAATTATTTCATCTGGCAAGGAGGATGTTGTTAGGCCAACCTTTGCCTCTACTCCAAACATTGCCTTATAGGGTGTCCGTTTAATGCCAGAGTGGTAGCTTTGAGTTTTTTGAAATTGAACAAATTTAATTCCTACAGGCCAATCTTCACAACCATTATCCCGCATCCATGTAATTGTCATATCTTTGATATCAGCATTTGCACGTTCGACACCTCCTTGACTTTGAGGGTGTCTTGGCTTCCCATGAACGATTTTATACTCTGGAGAAGAATCATATCAAGAATCTGCATTGCAACCTCTGCCGCCCGTTTTGATTTCAGAGGCCGAAGAACCACAAATTTTGTCATATGATCTTGGTAAACCATGATGTACTTAAAATCGTCAAAACTTAACGATTGCATATCAACTACATCCATTTGTCAACGTGAATTAAAATCTTTGCTGACTATAGGTTTAACAACAAGTCCCTTACTTGCAATTTTACTATCTTTAATTGACATTCTTCACACAACTCCCTTAAAAAGTTCCACAGTCTCTTTGTGAAACATATTAAGCGTATTTTCTATTTGCTTCCTTTATCATCTTATCACGTCCGCCATGCCCTGTTGCAATGTGAATTTTGTGAACAATGTTATACACATCTTATAGACAAGCGTAGTATTTAATATCATCGTCTCACGAAGTGCGTTTTACTGATAATTTTCGGTATGTCACCACATTGGAGGATTTCATACCTGAAATAATCGAAATATATTTTGAATCCTTTGGTATTATCAACAATTTAAATGCAAAAACAGCTTTTCAAGAAAGCAACAGGTGAACAAGCTTTACTGTTCCTGACATTTATGCTATTTGTTTTTCAATCAAAATGTTACCCCCCCCCCCCCCCCCCCCCCACTTACAACCCGAATCAACCACTGATTTGGTCTCCCTTTTATGAGGGGTACATTTTAAGTAAAAACACATTTTTTTTAATATGAAAACCACTTCTTTGTACTAAAGGGCACATATTTATATTATTTGCATAAACTTGAACCAAAGAACTATGCATTTATCTGCACAAAGTTATTCTTTTTTCCTTTTTTTTTGGGGGGGGGGGGGGGAGGGGGGGAGGGGTCCCAACCTGATCAAAATAAATAGTATACTCATGAGACGCAAATCGTAGAAAAGGGTACTTTTGTTTCTGTAAATCTAGTTTTCACTAGCATTGCTTTTCACAAATTTTTTTTGGTTAGATATATAATATTATTTGTATTTATATCCTTGCCCACGAGCCCCCCTTTTTCCTATGTTAATGAATATTGATGTTAAGAGTGTGATCTGTATGAAATATATAAGATGAAAGGAGCCTTTAAATAATCTTTAAAAATACTTACTTTGTCAGCAGGTAGTAATAAGCAGGAGTTTTGTCTTCTTTACATGGTTCTTTTGTCATCAAAGTAACAATATCATTGTATTTGTTCCTTGTCCATATCTTGCATTTTGTTTTTTCCTCCGCTATTTGCAGTAACGTTTGAGCATACGTTTGCTCTAACCCAAGCAACATCTGTGCCTGTACCATACTTGTGGAATAATGAGGTTTAACAATTGAATTAAATATCACTGGAAAAACTGTTCACTTAAGATTTACCTAGTAGTAGAAGATCAGGACTGAAAACTGTTCACTTAATCTTTCAAGGAATAAAAAAATAAAATAATAATAATTGGTTTATATTTAATTTTCTATCAAATAAAGGATCTTTAAATTATTGATAATCCCTGAAATTATATTAGGGAATTTGTAGAATAATTATTAAAATGTTCAGTGATTATGTAACATCACTGGTCATTTTCAGGGAATATATATAATCACTAATGATTTTAGTGATTCTACATAATCCCTGAAAAATCAGGGATTCTACATAATCCTTGATTATACAAATTCACTGTAACATATATATGTTACAGTAAATGTGTATAATTAGGGATTATGTATAATCCCGGAAATTGTTAGGGATTATGTATAATCACTGGTGACATCAGTGATTATATATAATCACTAAAATTTTCAGTAATTATGTATAGTCACTGGAAAAAATGTCAGGATTACTCATAATAACTATAATGAAGAAACAATCAATAAAGTTAAATAAATTATTCTACAAAATTATATTTAAACATCTTTAGAAGCATAAACTTTAAAATGTTAATCTAAGCACAAAGCTCTAATACAAATCACTTATTTTTATCCAATATTTTGATTGTTTAAAATCCTAGTCTTAGTACAATAAGTGTACTCGAAATTTTTACTAGATAACCGCAACGCGTTTTTTTTATATAAACAACGACGAAAATTCGATTGAATCTCCGAATTTTCCATGGGGAACTTCCTAGCCCCCGTTTAAAGTATTTATCGCCTGGATATATGACAACATGAAACTGACAATAATTTGCTTTGAGGGTATATGGACAAGGAAATAAGTTATACCAATCAGTGAAATCATTTACCCCAAGCTTTAAATATTCAGCAGCACGGTAAAATCAGTCCGGTTGTATGGACCAGAATGCTTTGGAATTATACAGAAGGTAGAAGCATTCCACAACTCTCTCCGCAAAATTCACCAACACATGTGGCTACTAGTAAATAAGTTCAGCAGTAAAATTCTACTGGAAAGAGGTCCTGATAAGAACATCACAGATGAGATAAAACAACGACGTTTTATATGACCAGGCCTCGTTCTGAGAAAGCCAATGGTTAGAACATCAAAAGTAGTTCTCATCTCGACACCTGTAGGAAAAACAACCAGGCCGACATCGTACCAACTGGAGGAGAAGTTTTGCGATCAAGCTAAAAGAGAGTACCAGCTCAGTATGTGGTGATGGACAGGGAAGAATGGAAGAAGCTTATGAAGGATGCCTTATGCCCAATTCGAAATAAATAGGATAGGGAAAGATGTAAGTGATTGAAGGTTAATGACATTTTTGTAACCATAAATTACAAGTTATTTGACCAAGACCTTGCTCTGAAATCTCTCTAACTCGAACAATTTAAAGTTAGAGTATGATATAAAGGTATGATTCACGTGTTTGTTACGTTTGAGACAGAAATAACTGTTCACGTGTTCGTTAGTAAAACATGTATTTATAATCATAAAATTTCCTTTTTATCGCCAAGTTCTTACGTACAAAATGACCTATTAATCAGAAGTAACCTTGTGATTTGTCATCTGTCAGCTTCCTCCAGCTCCGACATAAATTTCCGTGATACGGAAATACTTCATCAAACTATTTACCCGCTAAAATTTTACCGCCCAATGTTTAATTATGTCCTTATTTAAAACTTATGGAACAGGTGTCCTTGAAGTTTAAGTACCAATTTGAAAACTTTCAAGTCACCTTAAAATGAGTACGTTTTCAGAACAGATATAGATCTACAGGAAGGTAGTTCTCGGTGTAAGAATGATCAATGTGATTGTTCTTAGAAACTAAACCAAATAAACTCATCATAGATACCAGGATTACAGTTATGTACGCCAGATGCGAGTTTCGTTAACAAAAGACTCATCAGTGACGCTCGAATCAAAAAAGTTAAAAAGGTCAATTAAAGTACGAAGTTGAAGAGCATTGAGGATCAAAACTTCCAAAAGGTTTTGCCAAATAAAGCTACGGTAATCAATTCCTGTCGTAGAAATCCTTAGTATTTCGAAAAAAATCAAAGTTTATAATTATGACCATATCAATGATAATTCATATCAACACTGAAGTGCTTCGACCTGGAGTATTCTTATACCTTTTTATTCCACAAACGTACTGGTGTTGTATTGATAACAATTATAGGTTAAAATTACTCTTTTATGTGGTCACTCAGCTGTCCTGCATATATCTTATAGACGCCTTTAGTTTCTATGATCTGTCTTTTTTATATGCAATTCATTGAATATCCCTGCAAAATATTCCTTTAATAACATGTACCGGTTATTATAAATTCTAAATATTTCAGCTGATGTCGACGCTAAGGGGTCGTCTTGATATTGCTAGAATGTGAGATTTTTTTATTTGTTATTAAAGTCTTTTAAGCAACTTTCAATATGAAGAACAGCAATACAAGCAATGTTCATTTGATATTTTGATTATTTTTTAGTATGTCTCTTGTGCACCCCGACCCCATATCTTTTCTTTTCCAACACACAAAATAATAATAGCAATACGATGACGAATAATTTATTAGTACACGTATTTCATTTTCATTTAAGTTATTAAATTAAATATATTGATATATATATATATATATTTATACTGCACTCGTTCTATTTGAGCAGTCAAAATGCGTTGACTGTATATTCTATATCATATACAGTTACTGACCCGATATCACTTTTCCTCATGTATATTTAAATAGTAGAGCCAAAACTATATTTAGATATTCATGACGAGCGCTTCGACTAGTCCTTGTTTCCAATGTTTCCAACGTAGCGTGGAACGACTCAAATTTGTTTCTTTTACAATTGTTAGAAAAACATATTTCACTTGTTAATATTTTTTGTTTAAAACCTATAAGTCATTATGTTTTATGCTTATTGGTGATATTTTAGTCCATACTCATACTCAAACGAATTCGTTCACCAACGATTGGTTTCAACAGGTAAATTGATGTACATTTCATTGTGCTGTATGTTTCTCCGCCAGATGTGATGCCTTTTTAAAGGGGGATTTTTTCCAATATTTAAATCAAATAAATAACAATAACACAATAAACAACAATTGAAAATGTGTTTTTCTAGATTGCAGTATTAAAGACAATAATAGTATATTGACTTGACATATCAACGATATAAGTATTCGGCCCGAAACGGGGAAAAAGCTCGGCAGAGCCTCGCATTTTCCCGTTTCTAAGCCTCATCCTTATATCGTTGATATGTCAAGTCAAGACACTATTATTGTCTATATATAAATGTGTTCAAATTGCAATATATACAGCAACATTAAGTCAAATACAAAGAGTTTATGGACAATGAAATGTCGAAAAAGCAAACAGTCGCTTTTCAAGGACGGATTCACAGAGATCGTTCGATTTTACCATTTTCCTTTCTTTACGTCGATTGCGTTGCAGATAATTTTTTAGATTCACTGGAATATTCACGAGATGGTGCAGGTTTGATTGACTGGCTACTTGTTGATATTCTGAAAACAGAAAAGAAATAAATATTTTTGATATTTTCAAACTGTATCAAAATATAATTGTAATGAAATGAGATCTAACAAAGTCAAAAACAGCACTCAAAAGGTTAAATGACAAGAAATTTAACTTGGTACTTAACAGAAAACAAATTTGTATCGGAAAAAGAACCACTTCAAGCATCTCGTGTTTAAATGATTTGAAATGTGTCTACAAGTGCTGTATAATAAGTACATTTGAAATTTGTCAATGCTATGTAAGTGCATTTTATTTCTATTGGAAACCCATACCCCCACAAATATACTTTGACAAATACCAGTAGAAAACACATACATTAATTTTACAGTTACTGTTCAGGATACTATGTCGAGGAACTTCGGCTACAGTCAATTAATTTTTGACGAAACAACATTCATTTGTTTTATACAGTACTTAAAAACTTGATTTTTTTGCAGTATTTTAGAGTGAAAAAAACATTTATTTCCATTTTTTCATTGTCTTTTTTCATGTTTTTTTTTAATTTTTTTTGGCAGTATGTATTGTAATTGATATTGAACTTTATTGTTTTTGAGCATTTAGAAAAATAATTTACCTTTGGTATACATTTTTAGTCAGTGTCGTCAATTCGTTTCTGAATTTTTCATTAGTTGCTGTATACAGATAAAAGTTCAGCGCAAAATGAGAATACTGGAAGAGGTAAGTGATTGTCCAAGCTATGTCTAGGCGGCTTTTTGTCGAGGAGTCGGCACCTGGCCTAACGTAAGAGTCTACAATGAAATAAATCGAGATCGGAATTGTTGCTACGATGAAATAAGATGTCGTAACGACCAACATCCATGTAACTCGTTTTGTTGATTTCTGCCTTCTTGGTAGGCTCATTCCCGGCTGTATAGACATTCTTCTACGAGTTTTTGTTAGTTTTTCTAGTTCATAGCATATCAAAGAGTTTAGTATAATCATAATCCAAGCTGGTAGAATGGAGAGAAATACAAAATCGACGTAAACGAATACTTTTTCGTCAAATTCATAGTACTCCGGGGTTAGCGAAGAACAGCCATCTTTGACAGTTATGCCATTAGTCCAAAAGAAATGCAGGTTTATTCCAATTAACATGACAGCGGCAATCAAAAGTGATATCAAAGTATTTTTGATCGTGATTTCCTTTGAGGCTGTTCTGCGTAGAGGTACAAATGTCTTCATAAAACGAATGACTGTCACTAAGACTAATATCCACGAGGAAAATTGCATGGAAAAGTAAATAAGGAACAAACTAAATCTACAGCTGAATTCGGAAAGTACCCTGATGTCCACATCAGATGCATATATGATCAAGTAGCGTGTAAGTCCAGTTAATAAAACAGTCAAGTCGGTAAATGCAAGAATAAACAGCAAGGTGTATGTTGCATTCTTGTAAAATTTTAGTCTAAAAAGTACGCATATGTTGAGAAGATTTCCCACAAATCCGATCAGCAGGAATAAAGGGGAGAATATTATCCAGAAATATTTTTCAACGTTGTAGTACACTGATGTATCTATATCATCAACGACAGTAGATGCATTAGTTGTAATGCTTCCAAGCAACAAGGTAGCTCCCACTGTTACGTTTGCCATTTTTGCCTCACTGTGATGAAGTGAAGATCAAACTGTATAACTATGATCTTTAAAATAAATGACAACCAAGCGGGAATATATACTATATAGATCACGTGGTTTAGTGATCATAAGTAAACAAACTTGACATCAGGAAACAAACATGTAGTGTACTTAATTTCTGGCAACAAATTTTCTTTGTCACGCGAGCAGTTAATTGCCTTTCTGAATTTTACATGTACTTGTTTGGACTTTGATATTAAACGGAAAGCCTTTGTAAACATCTGACATAACCACAATTTGCTATTTTTGAATTTTCAAGTCAGTACACTAGTTTTATTAAGACATATATCATTTGTGGTGTATGCCGCTTTCGATACCACGTTTTAAGTACAATTCAATAGTTGCTTGTTTACTACCGCCATGAGGACGTGATAAGTTATCAAGTACATCCACGGGCATTACTGCCTCGAACGGATATACACAAAAATTAATATAAAGATAATAAGCAATAACGGATGTGCAACATTTGGAAAACAATAAGTAGCTTCTGTGGAAATGAGGAAAATTTATTATCGATAGTTACTTTTGTTTTAGTATCTCATGGTGTAACAGAAACTAGCTATAGAATCTGAACTGAAATCACAAGATCTTGATTCATCAGCTCCTGTCTGGCTTTCCTTAGGACCTCATTGATTTTAAGATCTACTGATAACGAATTGCATAGATTGCATTTTTGGAAATCTTGGATTTTCACACTTTAAAAACTACCGGTGATAAATAAGACACTAATAGTTTGGTATGATGTGCCGAAAATTGTAGGATAGCTTTTAAGGTTGATCATTTGTATCCTTTGGATAAAGAATCTGCAGTTTTTGAATCAGATTTTTTCTCTGTCTGCTTTTCAAAATCTTTCTATTCAAGATTTTTGTTTATAAGGGTGACTTTCATCTTGTATATGTGCCTCTCAGTGTGGCCATAGGAACGAAGATGTCTACTAAGACGAATGCGTTATTCACTTTTATGACCATTGCATCGTCTGTTGAGAGGTCTGCTTGTTTTTCACTAACAAAATTCGCTTAAAAAAACCACGCACTATTTTAACTTTTAAAGTTGAAGGTTATGTTTTTATATCCCTAATAAAAAAAATTTAAAGTCTGTGTCTCTCGCCATTGATGGCAGTTCTTAAACGTTTGTTGTCATATCTTTTTGAGCGCATTTCTACCGACATGGCGATTGTCCACCGCCCCCTTGAACGATTATAAAACAAATACATAATCGCTATAAAAACGGAATCCAATAATCCTTTTCGAGCCTCTACAATTCTTCTCTCGAATATTGTTACATCACTGTTAACCAATATGACACATGATAATGACATCGTAGCCTGCTGGAAGTTTGGAACAGTCACTTGTTTTCCATTCGTTCTGTTGTCTGATAAAGTCTAACGTTTGATTTTGTCTGTTATTTATGGACTTCCCTTTTTTTTTAATTTACCTTGGAGTTCGTTATTTCTTTAATAAATTTTCACTTACATGTACTATACACAATGTCAATTAAATGCTCGCATTCATTATAGTCATAAGTGGTTCTTGTTCAACCTTGATTTTTACATAAAGCGAATCGAAACTGCTGATGTCCTCCATACTTTATCGAACATGCCAATAGAAGAGAAAAACAAAGGACATGGGGTGTCCATATAGGAAACAAAGGACATGGGGTGTCCATATAGGAAACAAAGGACATGGGGTGTCCATATAGGAAACAAAGGACATGGGGTGTCCATATAGGAAACAAAGGATATGGGGTGTCCATATAGGAAACAAAGGACATGGGGTGTCCATATAGGAAACAAAGGACATGGGGTGTCCGTATAGTAAACAAAGGACATGGGGTGTCCATATAGGAAACAAAGGACATGGGGTGTCCATATAGGAAACAAAGGACATGGGGTGTCCATATAGGAAACAAAGGACATGGGGTATCCATATAGGAAACAAAGGACATGGGGTATCCATATACATGGGGTGTCCATATAGGAAATAGTAGTTAACCGATGTTTAAATCTCATTAATCGATTAGGAAGATAAGAAATGAAGGTAACAAACAGACACTTTTCACAGAAATATTACTATCAACAATGATAGTAAATTTTGCTTAATGATCTTGAGTTAAGATTTAGTTTTTCTCGTAAGAATTTTTGTGAATAGAGTTGCAGAATATCATTGCTGGAAGCCAAATTTATCATATGGCTCAGAAATTGGAGGACAATTCTCTCCAAATAAGTTACAGTCAAGACAAGGTAACAAAAGTTCTAAATGTTCAAAGATTGAGTTATTGAAAAACCACCTGTCAATTCTTAATAACAATATATTTTGCAGCTTGTACTACGAAAAACTATCATAGCGGCGATGGAAGGGTTTTGAAGATGCCGTTTGTTTCTTGAGGTCCTTATAAACATGATCAAACTATCAGAACAAAATAACTCCCTAATTAATGAAGCATTTAAAACTTTATTTTAAAAGTGAAACAACAATTGGTGAAGTAATATTTATTCCGTACTGAAATATATGAATAGAAACCTGGAATAAGTCACGAGTCTAATATGAAATCAATCATCATAAAGAGAATTAGAACTAAATATGATTAAATTTGGTTTAACCTGTTGAAAAATGATAGACCTAATATGGTATATGGAAATAAATTAACTTACAGAATTTTTAAGAATAAAATGTGCCTCAATAATATTTACTGTCAATAGAAAATAATAAGACAATGAGTTAACCAAATTTAGAATTTGTGCCCATGACCTTGAAATAGAAGAAGAATTAGTGCCCATGATCTTGAAATAAAAGAGGGAAGACGCAAGAGTATACCATCAGACCAATGATTTATAACAAAGACTTCGCTTTGTATGAAATTCATTTTGTACTTCAATATCGATCACTTAGAATTTACAGGTCCAGTTTTATTTCTATTAAATTAAGCTAGATTCGTTAATTTTGAATCGTTAGTTGACCAATCAGATTGTAGGAGCGCCAAATCAATTAATTAGATTTGAATGATTCGCCTGCTCTCCCACCAATTAACATCAAAATTAGGTATACACTGTATGTGTTCACTCAAAATCTTTGTAGGAATACACTATCGTCTCCCTACATAGTTTAATTGGTTTTATTTTAAGTTATTCTCCAATCAAAATAAAATAAAATATCGTAATCATTTGTATAATGTAATTATAATTTTAATTTCTGTGCACTTTTTGGGTGTCATAATTGGCAAATCAAAATTATTGTTGTTGTTGTGTTGGTTGCATAGATACTAACACAGAAATCAAAGAAGGGTTATATAAATTCATATGTAAGAACACCAATACATACCCATTCAACAACTTAAAAGAACAAAAGCTTCCAACCTGTTCACTGAATTTAAAGCATCAAAAAGCTGTGAGGAAAAACACTGCCAGTTGCTTCTAAGTGTAAAAAAAATATATTGACTTTCACCAGGGAATATTTAAAAATATTTTGTGATTGTAAACAAAGTGACAACAGTTTATTGATGTTCAAATGATCGCAAGAATGATTACATGTGTTAACCAAACATTCCCCTTAGTGCAAATCTCCGGAAAGATGGACATATCGAGAGAGATCTACACTGACTTAAAGTTACACTTAAATACCATTTTATGCATTTGTCTGCACACCATTCACATCTATTGGAGCCAGAGTTTACATTTATATGACTTTCAAGATAGCAATGTAGTTCAACACCATTTCAAATTGAGACACGTTTCACTGTAGTTCACAGCAAACACTTTTTTGATATTTTAAATGGCGTACAAAAAATTAAGGCTGGTATCTAGGATGAGTTTATTTGCATTGAAGAGGACTTTATCTGAATTTTTTAAGTATTTAAATCATACCACCTGTCAATTCTTAACAACAATATATTTTGCAGCTTGTACTACGATAAACTATACTAGCGGCGATGAGAGGGTTTTGGAGATACCGTTTGTTTCTTGAGGTCCTTATAAACATGATCAAACGTTGGATCAAACTATCAGAACAAAATAACTCCCCCATTAAAGAAGCATTAAAACATTATTTTAAAAATGAAACAATTGCGTGGGTAACATTTATTCCGTACTAAAATATATGAATAGAAACCCAGAATAAGTCACGAGTCTAATATGAAATCAATCATCATAAAGAGAATTAGAGCAAAATGTGATTAAATTTGGTTTAACCTGTTGAATAATGATAGACCTTATATGGTATAAGGAAATTAATTAACTTAGACTTTTTAAGAATAATATGTGCCTCATTAATATTTACTGTTAATAGAAAATTATAAGATAATGAGTTAACCAAATTTAGAATAAGTGCCCATGACCTTGAATTAGAAGAAGAATTAGTGCCCATGATCTTGAAATAGAAGAGGGAAGACGCAAAAGTATACCCTCAGACCATTGATTTATAACAAAGGCTTTGTTTTGGATGAAATTCATTTTGTACTTCAATATCCATCACTAAGAACTTATTGGTTCAGTTTTATGTATAGCTAAGCTAGATTCGTTAATTTTGAATCGTTAGTTGACCAATCAGATTGTAGGAGCGCCAAATCATTTGATTAGATTTGAATGATCCGCCAGCTCTCCCACCAGTTAACAGTAAAATTAGGTGTACACACTGTATGTGTTCACTCAATATCTTTGTAGGAAGACACTGTTGTCTCCCTACATGTTTTGATTGGTTTTGTTTGATTGTTATTGTCCAATCAGAAAAACAAAATCATCGTAATCATTTGTATAATGTAATTATAATTTTAGTTACTCTGCACTTTTTGGGTGTCATAATTGACAAATCAAAATAATGCTTGTTGTTGTGTTGGTTGCATGGATACTATCACAGAAATCGAAGAAGGGTTATATGAATTCATATTTTAGAACACCAATCAATAACTTAAAAGAACAAAAGCTTTCAACCTGTTCACTGAGTTTAAAGCATCAAAAAGCAGCGAGGAAAATCACTGCAAGTTGCTTCCTAGTGTAAAAAAAATATTGACTT